TTTTTTTTTTTTTTTTTTGCAGAACTGAGGATTGAACTCAGGCCCTTGGGCTTGCCAGGGAATCAGTTATTCTACTGAGACATCTCTCTGGCCCCTTAAATTCTGATGGCAGAAGGGCATGGTGGCGCATGCTTGTTATCCCAACACTGGGGAGGCTGAGGCAGGAAGATCACTACGAGTCTGAGGCCAGCCTGGGCTACATATGAGACCCTATGAAGAAAACGAGAAAAGGGGATGTAACTCAGTGTGGAGGCCTTGGGTTCAATCTTTCACTTCCACAAAATATAAAAATAAATGATAAAACCTACCCACTTCAAAGAAATGTCAATGGCTAATCAAGTTGCGTTGGATTTTTTTTTTTCCCTGTGCTCTTAATCCGTGTTCTCCTGCTCCGCCCTCCACGGCATGCCTTCCGAGCACTAGCCATGTTGCACGGTTGCCTTTCCTTTTCTTGCCACCCATCAGCTGTCCCCTGTTGTGGCATCCCTGGGCCTAGGGTTCAGGTTGCAGTGGTGTGAGTCTGTGTGGTGTGTGCACCTGCAGAGCCCTTCACTAGCACCAGGGACATCAGGAGATGGCTTGGGTCAGGGAGGGAGGGAGAAAGAGAGGCTGACCCCTTGCAGAGGTACAGCCAGCCGGGTTGGATGGAGGAGCACGGGAGTGCAGTGGGGTCCGGGGCTGAGATCTCCTTTCTGCCCACCCTCACTCAGGTCAGTTTCTGTAGGACCAACGGTGTGGCTGGAGGGCTGGTCTCTTGGGTAGTGAGTGCAAGGCCCTGTGTTCCAACCTCAGCAACACACACACACACACACACACACACACACACACACGTGCAAACCCACAAATAGACTGGTAAGAAAGGAGCGTGAGCAGGTGAAAGAATTTAGGTCTGTTTTTCTTTCTTCTTCTTTTTTTTTTTTTTTGGCGAAAGTGGAGCTTGAACTCAGGCCCTTGCTCTTGCCAGGGAAGCGCTTCCACTGAGCCATCTCCCGGCCCCTAATTTTTATGTTGCTTGCTGGGCGTAGAGGAACACGCCTGTAATTCCGGCACTTGGTAGGCTAGGCAGAGGATCCTTGGGAGTTTGAGACAACTCTGGGCTATAAAGTGAGTTCAAGGTCAGTCTGAACTGCACAGCAAGGTTCTGTCTCAAAAAGACAAAAATACGGGCCAGGGGTATAGCTCAGGGGCACAGCACCTGCCTGCCAAGCATGAGACCCTGGGTTCGATTTCCGGTACCAAAATAAAAGTAGAACAGAAGAATAATGTTTGTGTTTCTTTGTCCACGTTCCCAGCGCATTAGGCTCACCCCCCCCCCACCCCCAGGGAGTACATCTGCATGCCTTCTCACCTCTCTCTCCTCTCCCCTCCTTTCTGGGCACTGAACCTGTCCAGTAACAATGCCTCTGCTTCAGTTTAACAAGAGTTGCTGCAGTGGGCCAGGTGTAGTGGCACAGGCCTGTAGTCCCAGCACTTGGAAGGCTGAGGCAGGAGGATTGCTGTGAGAGGCCAGCCTGGACTACATAGTGAAATCTTGTCTCCAAAAAAAAAAAAAAAAAGAAAAGAAAATATCACAGTGAAAGATAAATATAATTAAGACTAAAAAGCAGATCATTTAAAAAATTTTTATTTTATTTATTTATTGTGTGTGTGTGTGTGTGGCCAGCTCAGCCCACCAGGGGGTGGGGCTGGCTGGCATGTGGTGCTGGGGGATTGAACCGCGGTCCCTTTGCTTTGCCAAGCTTGTTCCAAGTAGGTGCTTTAGACCACTGAGTCATCTCCCCAACCCCAAGCAGATCATTTTGAAGAAAAAAGTTTTCTTCTCCAAAAACCTTGATTGTCGGGCTGGGGAGATGGCTCAGTGGAATAAATGTTTTCCTGGCAAGCCCAACAGCCGGAGTTCCATCCCCGGTTCCGCCAAAAAAAACAAACCCAAAACACCTTGATTGCTTTTGTCTTTTTTTTTTTTTTTTTGCAGAACCAGAGATTGAACTCAGACCCATGCGCTTGCCAGGGAAGCGCTTATTCCACTAAGCCACCTACTGGCCCTCCTTGACTGCTTTTGTTGGCATGATATTCATTACAAGAGCTGAGCCAGCTGTGGTGGGACACACCTGTAATCGAGGACCCTGCGTAGCTGAGCAGGAGTTACACCTTTGATCATAGCCTCAGCAATTTAGCAATTTAGTGAGTCCCTGTCTCAAAATAATTTTTTTTTTTTTGGTGGAACCAGGTAAAAAATAATAATTTTTTTTGTTGTTGTTTTTGAGACAGGGTCTTGCTATGTACTCCAGCATAGCCTTGAACTTGTGGTAATCCTCCTTCCTCAGCTTCCTAAGTACTAGGATTACAGGCATGCACCACACACCTGGATAAATATATATCTATATCTATACCTACATCTACATCTACATCTATATCTACATCTATATCTATATGGGGGCTGGGAGTACAGATCACTTTGAAGGCCTGGGTTCAATCCCCAGTACAAAAAAGGCAGGGGAGGCTAGGCATGGTGGCACACATCTGTAATCCCAGGGAGGCTGAGGCAGGAGGATCATTGTAAGTTTGAGACCAACGTGGGCTACAAATGAGCTCAAGGCCATTCTGTACTGCATAGTAAGAATGTTTCAAAACAAAACAAAACAAAACAAAACAAAACAAGGGAAGGGAGAGGTGGAGGGAGAGGGAGGAAAAGGAACAGAAGAAAAGGAGAAGGAAAGGAGAAGAAAAAAAAATTGAAAAAAATGCATGGAGTCAGGAATGGCGGTGGTGGCGGCCTAAATTCAGCTACTCAAGAGGCTGAGGGAGGAGGATGACAAACTCTAGGTAAGCTGAGCAACTTAGAAAGACCCTGTCTTAAAAAAGCACAGAAAGTTCCATGTATAATGTGCTTCATTCCCTGAGTTCAATCCCCAGTACTGGAGAGGGAGAAAAATCTAACAAGATATTATTTTGTTGAAGTCATGGACAACTATATTGACCCCATTGTGATTTGGGGCACTCCCCTGGGGACAGGCGTGGGCTTCTCTGTCTGGGCTTCTAAAGAACAGCTTGGGACCTTGAGCACAGCGCTGTATGGCCAGCGTTGGTCACGAGGGCTGTGATGACTCACCGGTGCATTGCAGAGGTGGAAAATGCAGCGACCCACACAGAATGAGCAAAGCACGCTGGTAGTTGTGTCTGCAAAGGTACAGTGTCCAGCCAGGTGTGGGGCACATACCTGTGACCCCAGCGCTGGGGAGGCTGAGGCAGGAGGAGCGCCAGGAGTTGGAGGCTAATCTGAGCTACATAGTGAACTCAAGGCCAGCCTGGACTACACGTTGAGACTTTATCTCAGAAGGGGGTGGGGTGCTGGGGATGTAGCTCAGAGGCACAGCACTTGCCTGGCAAGGGCAAGGACCCAGTTTGA